CGCATTTGTCCCAAAAATCCATACGATGAACATGCAGTCAAGCCGATTCACAAAGCGAGTTCCTTCGCGGCCTTTTGAATACATGTATGAGACAACCTCCCCCCACCCCGGGGAGAAAGAGGAATATTCAAGAGCATGCACTACCAAAAACAAATAAACAAAGTGAACACAAAAAATCTCCATCAAATTCAACCGTATTCATGCGGGAACACAATATTGTAATTTTTAAAAAACCCGATCAATTCCGGAACAGTAAGCTATGTCCATTAAGAGTGAAGATAATGACATTGTACCAGCTATAGAAGAGAAAAGACTCAGATTTAGACGTTACACTGCAGTCCATCACATTACCTACTCAACTCGGCACATCCCACCATGTCTCTTTTTTTCTCTTTTCCCCCCATTTTTTAAATTAGTGTTTTACGGCGCTCGCAACTGCATAAGGTCATATGAGCTCGCGGGACACATTAACATTTTCAGTTGGTGTGAAATTTTGAATTTTGCCCGAAACGGCCTAAGCCTACTCTTATTGATTTTAGACCACCAAGGGATCTTTAACGTGCGCAACTTGCGCAGGGGACCGAGATTTTTCGCCCTTGTCCGAGAAGGCTAGGTGTAGATCTTTCCTATCAGAAGGTCAGGGGTGTGGCTGAAAGACAGCAGTAAGGAGCCAAGGAGCAGCAGAGAAAGGCCGCAGAACGAGTCCGGAGCCCAGGGGAGGGGCGGCAAAGGAGGTGAGGGGGTGGGAGCAGAAACTGGAGATGAAAGCAGGCGACAGAACATTGCTAGAGATCAGGAAAGAAGGTGAAAGGAGACAATTTTAGAGAAGAAAATTCGTCCGATCGCTACCCGGATTCGAACCCGGGACCTTTGATTGAGAGGTGAACACCTTAACCTCTAGGCCACGAGAGTCCCAATCCATGTCTCCTTAAGTCGAACACTAAGCTAACAGAAAAGTTTGAGTTGAACCTCTTGACTTTAAAAAAAAAGTTCACAGACAAGCCACAATTCCGCGCGTACTTGTGAGGAGAAACATGACACAATCACGCGACTCTGTCATTAAACAATCCATCGAGACATTGTGATCTGAGATTTCGAAGTTTAACTTTCCTGAAAAATTGTTTCTGAGAAGAAGGGCGAAATTCCTCCTCAAATAAAACAACAACAACAACAAAATCAACTGGACCCC